TCTTGAGGCCCTCATGATGGGATTAGTGTCCTTATTAGAGACACCAGAGCGCTCTCTCTCTCTCTCTCTCTCTCTCTCTCTCTCTCTCTCTCTCTTTCTCTCTCTAAGACAAAGGTAACTATCTTCAAGACAGGAAGAGAGCCATCACCAGAAACTGGCCATGCCGACACCCTGATCTAGAACTTCTAGACTCCAGAAGTGTGAGAAAATAAATTTCTTTTTTTAAAGTTACCCAGTCTATGCTATTTTGTGATGGCAGCCCTAGTAGACAAAGGCAGTAAGATATGTTATAATGATGATTTATTTCAATTGTGTAGTCAAAAACAAAAATAAAACTAGGACTGCACTGGGTTATTATGTATAGACACTATAAATTTTTTTCTATTCTTAAAAATGAAATTGTATATTGTGAATTTTAAACCCAGAGCTATATTTCAGAACTAACTCATAGTTAAGAGGAAAATAAATAACTCCATGGGTGTATTAGCAAGTGTAACAGCAAAGTTCTGAAGAGTGGGAAAATGTTCCATCTTCAGCCAAAAACATTCAAGTGTAACTTGTTCAAAGGTAATACGTAGAATGCTGCCTTCCACGAGACCACAGGACCAGAAGGCATCAGATGGACACACGCCAGTTCTGAGCACTGCAGCTGATGGGAATTACCTCAGCAGTTCAATTGCTCTTCTTCCCAACTCTTCTTTCATATTAATGTCTACATAAGTTCCCAAAGCTGTCCAAATATCATTTTTGTAGAACAATACTGTTCTTGTTTAGAGCACATTGGACTAAAAACCCTACAAAGAAACTAGCACAAATTGTACATCAAGTGACTCCATCAAACTGGAAAGCAAATTTTTTATTTTAACCAGGATAATCAGAGTGGAGTGACAAGCAAAAAACATGAATTCAAGGCCATGTTATCTTGATGATGTACACTGAGAAACAGAAGTTAGGACATGGAGAGATCATATCTAATAGTTTGGAAGGAGATTATGTAAATTACACAGTCTACTTCAACAGCTTTTTCTTCCAAGTTATACTTAAGCTAGTCTTTAGTCCATCATGGAAATCCTGATGCTCTCCAGGTATGGATTGAAAATCGCTAATTCAGGTAGCTCACTTCAGCTCTATTTTATACAAATAGACCATACTGACTTCAAAAATAGATTATAAAAAATTACATTATCTGTGTTCAGTAGCAAGATTTTATTTTTATTTGTTTATTATTTAGAAAATATATTAATATTTCAAATTAATCTATGCAACTTAATTTCATTCTGCGATATAATTTTAAATTACAATATATCCCTGCTGTAGTTCATAAGTTGTTTATCAGACTATATTATGAAATATTTCACTATTTCTATTAATGTATGAATTAATTGTAACAAATATTGTATAACGAATATAAACATATCAATAATGTAAAGATTCTGCAGGGTGTGAGATGGGCACATGTCTTATTAGGGAGGCCATTTTATGGATGTATGCTTGACCACTGCACTGTACACCTGAGGCTGAAGCTGAATGATATTGTATATCAACTATAGTTTTACATATATATATATATATATATATATATATATATTATATGGTCACGGGATATGGAGTACAGCATAGGGAATAGAGTCAATGGAATTGTAATAGATATATATGATGTCAGGGGCAATACATTGGGGAAGAGTGGCTATCACTTTGTGAGCGGTGAAATGTCTAACTATTATATTGTTTTGTACACCCGCAACTAATAAAAAACATATATAAAAATAACACACTAAAAAATGCACTATGGCCCTGGATTTCAGTTGAGGACATTAAGACTTTTTAAGTTCACCATCTAGAATTAAGATGTTTTGTGAATTTAAAAGAAAAAGTTTATTATGTTCTTATATAATCAAAATGGACTTTCTACTGAAAGAGGGAAACAGAATAAGTGATTCACCATATTGTTTTTCTTCACTAGAAAAATGTTTCACATACACTTTCAGAAATGAAATATTCTCATTTCTTTCTACCAGGTTTCCTATGTAGTATTCTAGATTGTGATTATAACCATAAACTACAAATAAATGCATAAAATAATTGTCCACTTCTACACAAGAAGAATACATTTTTAAATTCCTATTGATCTTTTACTTTCGATGTTAAATCCTGTGGTCGAATTTAGTGCCTGTAATTATTTGTACGTTTTTAATGCCCATTTAGTATTAACTTGCTTTCAAAACCACAGCATGACATTTTCTCTAAATGCACTTTTTCACTTAAAAAACTATCTTAGTCCAACATTATCCCAATTTTAAAAACCTTTGTTTTCAAGTAATTATAGATTCAAAATCAAAGACATGTGAACCTCCTGTGCCCTCTTCATCAGCCTGTCCAATAGGAACATCTCCTGTAAGCAAAGTACATCGAATCAAGGAAGTTGGCATTAGTTACCCATTCTTTTGGCTGAGCTAAAAGAGTTAATTAACTTTTTCTAAGTCTTTTAAATTTTACATAAACACATTTTTAATATGTAGTTGTAGGTGTGTGCATGTGTAAATGTGTGTATAAAGAACTGTATGTTAAATATCTGAATATTAGCTATGTCTTTCACATAATTTAAACATTCACTTATTAGCATCATCATTTAAAAGACCATTCTTAGTTAAATATTTTAATCATACTACATTAATAATCATTCTTTGATTGACTGCCTTACTTTTTCTAAAGGTAGTTTTCTTAATAAGTTAACCTGAAAACATGCATTCTTCATCCAGATTTAATACAAATGTAGTAAAGTTAATATCTCGGCTGTCCAAAAATGCCCTCAAGAACACAGTTCTACACGCTTCAGGAATTTGTCTACTTTTGAAGAATCTGGAGCAAGTGCTTCATGTAAAGTTTTCAGGAAATCAATAATATTTAATAACATTTTATATACTTTTCTCCTGGAATTTTACTTAAAGCTTAATGTTTCTTTGTCATTTCCATTACTAGTTACCAATATACTTACATAACAGCATTTATGAAGTAATTTTTTACACCATTAATTTTACAGTTTTCATGACAATACTATGGCTACATTTCATACTCCAGTACTAGTGGAATCAATTATCTGTAATAATGATGGGGAATGAATGATAAAACAAAGCTCCTATTTTTTCCTTCTATTTATCAGCTCAAATAATCCTGGATTTGGTATCCAACGTGCAGTATTTTACTTGTGCTTCCCCTAATTAGACGTGGGTAAGGAGGCACATATTTTATTTTGGGCTTTGGCTTTCTTCAAACCTGGCTCTGTTTATGAAGCATTGTTAGTCTGACAGCAAGCGCAAAGAGCCTAGCATCTTTAGTTTTGTGTCTGGAAGAAATTTTAGAGAACAAAAAAAATCACAATCAGATATGAGTAATATTGTCTGTTTTCAAGATGTAAACCAAGACAAGAGGAAGCAAAATATGGGGCAAATAGCTTTGTATCTATTCAAACTCTAACATCCCTACCTTGCCAATGTCTTCAGGAATGACAGGACACATTTATAGGCAATCTGGAACTGGTAAATAGAGAAAATTACACCATTGGTCAGTTTTTTTGATAGGACCCACGGGAGTATTGCCAGATTGGTGATAGTGTGTGAGAAGGAAGAGTGGCAGAGCAGCAGGATTAGGAGATTTTCATGCACTTTTAATGTTTTTCACACTCACACAAGTTTGGCATAATAACCCTTATTTTTAAAATACAAAAAGTAAAGTTCAGGAAGTTAAATAGCTTACCTCAAGTTGTAAGTAAGCAATTTCAAAGTCATAATACAAATGCAGCTGTGACTTTTCTCCAAAACTCTAAATTGCTTCTTTCACTGTACCAAACTGGAGACTTCTTTAAATGGTCAGTTGTTTTCAATGAATCCTGAAAAATAAAGATGAAAATACATTATTGTTGTTTTTCAAGTTATGTCAAAATTAGCAATGCATATTGTTGGCTGTTTTCTAGGAACATGACAATTAGTAAGAAAGAAAAATTTCAAACAAGTTCTAGTATCTGAATTATGTGTGACTACAATTTACAAAATTCTAAGCGTGCTAGGTATTCAGCATCAACAGATGTGTGACATATCACCTATACCCTTTCACAGACCTGTCTAACCATGGTCATTTCTACATTGTACAGCGGGGACTTTTGTTTCCATATCGTGACCTTCCACTCTGTGAGTGCTTCTAGAAACTCAGTTGATGTTTTAGAAGATTGAGAGGAGGCTAATAAGTATTTTGGACTGTTGACATGGGGCAGAATTGATTGATGGGTGTTGAGGAAAATTTCAGAGGACATGAAATTATTTTTCTGTCAGATAATAAGCAGGCCCCACAGGCAGCATGCACCAAGTGAGGCGATTGAAACCTTCGCCCAATAACTATAAAAATGACCTGTGTTCACACGAGGAGGATGTCACATGCTCACTTGAATGACAAAGGATGGGATCAGGCACGCTTGCTCATTTTCAAGCACACCTTAGAACTGGCCAACATGTGCTCAGCCATCTCAGCATCTTTATATCTATCTACTCCTTTCATATCTCTCCTTAGTGGTCAGGATCTACTACCTCATGGCTCCCTTACAGCCCGAGGACCTTTATCTTGGGAGTAGAGGACAGGGTAGTGTTGTCTGTGCCTCCCCCTTTTCACTTTCTGATTTTGTTATGGCATTATTTGAAAACTCCTCTCCCCTCAAGCGTCCTCCTTTTGAGTTTGCAAAAATCTTGCTTGGAAATTAAAAAAAAAAGTAAAATAAAATAAACAAAAGCAAACTCCACATTAATTAGTTTCCTCATTTATTCTTGCCCTGACACATCTAATTTGTCTCCAGGCAGTATCAATTGTTTTTGTCTACTAGAAGAAGATTTGAGATTGTGGGAAAGAAAGAAAACACAAAAGCACATATTCAAAGGTCTTATGCATTCAGGTAAGTAATAAAAGTATGCACACACATGCATGTGAACATATTACATCAAACTATGCACTAGAACATGAGCTCCAAGGAGGGCGGGGATAGTGCTACTCTCTCATCTGTGTGTGCTCAACACCTTTAAAGGTACCTATCACAGAAAAAAAAAAAGTTTTCTTAAGCAGTTGTATATCCTGGTTGTACATCCAAGACGTATGGTTTGCATGTCGTAGGTATTTTCTGTTGGCTCCTCAAGAGCCACGGGCCACTCTCACAACACTGTGCTATGTGGAACTGACCCCCCAGACTTCGTCAAATGGCTGTCTTGCTGTCTGGCTTCCCGTTTCATTAGATCACTGGGTGGCTTTGTCAAGAGATTGGAAAATGTGAACAAACATGGATTACCACATTCTCTCTCCCTAAATGGTCACCAGAGATTATTGATGATTATAGCAAAAACCACAGCTGTGTCACGGGAAGTAATGCAACTCTTCCAGCTACAGCTCTTCTCTCTAATTTCAGTGTCTATTCCCTTCAGTTACCTTTGAAGTCCAGGAGGGGTTGAAGCTCCAGATAATTTAGGTCAACCCTTGATAGTTCCCATTAATCCTAGACATGTCTTCATAATAGTGCCTTTATTAAACTCCCTCATATTTAAAATTGGATTATGACCTGTGTCTCCCATCAGGATCCTGAATGATATGTTACTGTTTCTATTTTTCTATAGCTTCTCAAGTCCTCCTTCAGTCCCCACTCTCATGTAAATAAACCATGATAATATAATGGTGATCCGAGTTCTTCCCAAAGCAAGAATTCTTCCTGAGATTCTCCATTTATAAAGCATTCTCCCCCTCCAGCTCTAAGAGCTCCAGCTGGCTTGTCCCTATTCAAAGCAAACGTGGTGTTGGATGAAGAGCACAAACACAGACTGTAGGAAAAGGAAGAGATTGTAAAACACGATGCACACAAATACTTTTCAAAGGCAAATCATACCACCTGGAAGAAAAGGAGCAAGTGAATGAAAAGCAACACAAAAATTTTCCCTTATAGAACTGTGCTGTAGACCCATGGAAATGTGACTTCACTCCTTTCCCTTCACACAATCAGCAGCTTTCCTTATGGTTTGCTTTTTTCTACTAGCAATAACAAATATAAATCAGTGAAAAGAATCACAAGTCTCATCTTAAAACTCTTTTCCTTCTAAATCGAGACAGACTTCTCTTTTCCTAATAGTTTCTTGGAAGAATTTTAAGAGATCACTTTCCCTCTCAACAGATTTGTTTTTATTTCAATTGCTGTTATGTTGTCCTCCTCTGATTCTTCAAATTGGTGTGTTTTCAACTCAGACTACTTATTGAGGCACAATATTCTACAATCTTCTTTCTCCACTACTTTTAACTTGTAAGAGTCCCTGCAGCCCTCCACAGACCTCCACTGTGCTCCTAATAGTCAGGTTGTTTCAAGTTTTCAGACCTCACTGGAGGAATGGGATAATTGGAAGTGTGATGTAAGGCAGTGTGTACACAAGTAAAATTACCTTCCCCAGCCCTCAGAAGGGTTGGAGTGCAGCTCAGGAGTAAGTGACTGAAAGGAGTTTATTTCCTTCTTGGATAGCAGAAATCTCAGAAATTAAATTATCGCTCAGGTATCACTTCATAAGGAAGTCAGAGGCTTCTATTACTAGCCACTTTATTCTTCTAACACGATCATATCTCCAACATTACTGCTCATGTGTACCCATGGAAACAGTATAACTTCTTAGAAACAAATTTATATCAAATATATAAATAGAATAATAAAAAAGAAAATACACCCAAGTCAATTTTGATAAGCTTTAAACTATATTCCTTACTTTCTAATTATGTTCAAACACAGGCTTGCAAAGTGCATTATCCCAGTGTTCAATGATTTTTTTTTTCATTTTTACAGTTTTGGAGCAGTTGTTCAGAAATAATCCAAATAACTCTATTTTTTTTTAATTATTAAATGTATTGGGGTGAAATTGGTTAGTAAAATTATATGGGTTTCAAGTGTACAATTCTATAATACATCATTTATATATTGCATTATGTTTCACCACCCAGAGTCAGTTCTTCTTCCATCACCATATATTTGACCCCCTTTCCTTTTTCTACCACCCGCCTCCCTCACCCTCTGGTAACCACTGAACAGTTGTGTGTGTCTATGATTTGTTTCTTTGTTTGTTTATCTTGTTTGTTGCTTTCAGTTTTATATCCCATATACTCGTATGAGTGAAGTCATATGATTTTTTACTTTTTCTGTCTTACTTCTTTCACTTAGCATGATAATTCCAAGATCCATCCATGTTGTCATAAATGGCAATATTCCATCTTTTCTTATGCCTAAGTGTTATTCCATTGTATACATGTAACACTTCTTTTTTATTCAGTCACCTATCAAAGGACACTTTGGCTGTTTCCATGTCTTGGCCACTGTGAATAATGCTGCAATAAACATAGGAGTACATATATGTTTAAAGATAAATGTTTCCACATTTTGGGGGTAGATACCCAGAAGAAGGATTGCTGGGTCATATGCTAATTCTAGTCTTAATTTTTTGTGGAACCTCCATACCGTTTTCCATAGCAGCTGTATCAATTTACATTCCCACCAGTAGTGTAGGAGGGATCATTTTTCTTCATAGCCTCTCCAACAATTATTACTTGTGTTGTTGACAATAACCATTCTAACAGGTGTGAGGTGATATTTCACTGTGGTTTTGAATTGCATTTCCCTAATAGATAGTGAAGTTGAGCATTTTTCATAAATCTGCTGGCTGTTTGTATGTCTTCTTGGAAGACGTGTCTGTTCAGGCTTCTCCCATTTTAAAGCAAGGATAATATATTTTTCTTCTAAGTAGAGAGGTTTAGAATGACATACAAAAAATCTTCATAACGAAATTTATACTACATCGTTTTAAGAGGGATATATGTAGACTGATTTTTTCTATTCCTTTAAATATTATCGCTATTTTCTAAAATAATATATAAGTTCTAGTCAGTATAATTTATGAAAAACTGGAGCTGGAAAATCAAAGGACACAGGATGTTTGCATTTGAAAGTCTTCAGTCCTCTCTCAGCTGTGCCTGAAGTCAATGATCCAATGTCTCTGCCTTGTTTTGTTCAGCAGGGTTACTTCAAGAACACATCACATAGAAGATATGCTTTTGCCTTGAGTTTAACACACCCATCTCTTTCTTTAGATAAGTGAAGTCCTTTTAAAGCAATGGTTTTCAAACTTGTTTTGACAGACAGAATTATCTGGGAAACTTTATAATATAGCTATCTGGAAATTGTGACTCAGAAAGCCTGTGATGGCTTCAGCAATCAACCAATCACTCAATAAGAGAGTGTGTGTGTGTGTGTGTGTGTGTGTTTCTGGATGAAAAACATATATATTTAAGAAGTCTCCAGGTGATTTTAACGATGTGCCCGATTTTTAAAAATCATTCATATGTTTTCTGGAAACATTGACTATAATATGTGGACCACCTGGTGCTATTTTTCTTCAAAGTTTAAGTAGACTACTGTGTGAGACGATGGTGGAAGTCTGTGGTTTTGAAATAGTATGACACTTGTATATTAGCGGTTGTTATAGGTTGAATTGTGTGCCCAAAAAAGATACGTTGAAATTCTAACATGCTCCATCCCCTCAATCAGGTACCTGTGAATATGAACTTATTTGGAAATAGGGCCTTTGCAAATATAATCAAGTTAAAATAAAGTCATTAGGGTGGGCCCAAAGGTACATAGACAGGCAGAGGGAAGACAGCCAGGTGAAAACAGAGGCAAAGACTACAGTTAATGCAGCTACAAACCAAGGACGCCTGGCGCTTCCAGAAGCTGGGAGGGGCAAGAAGGATCCTCACCAGGAGGATTTGGAAGTAGTATGGCCTTAAAGATTCTACTAAATAGACTCTCATTTTCAACTGAAATCAGTGCTGCAG